TGAATTGGTCAAGATTTAAAAGTGTGTCAATAGTACTTTGACCTTTTTTAAATGCAACCTGATTAGAATGAATAAGCTTATTGAATTGAAAAAACCAAAAACCAGGAGAGTCTAGTGGCAATAAGNCCACCTTCTGGATTAAGAAATTTAGAGTAAACTGACTGTAAAAGTCGTCGGCCAAAATTTCGACTATGATGCATTCCCAGATACTGGCAGGGCCATCGAGAGAAAACTCGGGTCCCGGACTAAAAATCACGGCCCCTATAATAAATTCTAAGTCGGAATATATTTTTACTAAAAGTGTATAACGAAAAAGCAATTAAATTGTAAAAAATAATAACAAGTTATGGTTCCCATATTTCAGGCCCTCTAAAAAGACCGGTCCCGGGGGGTTCACCCCTTTTGCCACTCACTCTCGACGGGCCTGGATACTGGGAGTCTCGTTTGAATGTTCTTGAACGATAATGGATAAATGTGTCTTCTTCTTCTTCTTCTTCTTTCTCTTGCTGGTCACAATAGAACAGCAACCCCAAAAAGGGAAAAAATAAAATCAGCTCGAGACACGAAGTCTATATAGCTGATTTTGGCTGTATTTTTTTAACTTATTAATATTCCAATTTTGTGTTTAGATTGCTTACATACAATTTATATAACTTTTTTTTTTTCATTTAAATGAACTCAAATTTAACTCCTTTCTTTTTTCTTTTTTTTTTTTGTTACACTTACTTAGCTTAATACTGATTTTCTCTTTTTTATCACATGTAGTTTGTATACTTGCTGGTTATTGCTATAGTTTTATACTTATTAGTATTCTAGTTTTTTGTGTTGTTTGCTTATGTATTTACATGCCAATTTATATTTCTTTTTCCCCTTTTTATCTTTCCTTATTTATTTNTTTTTTTTTTTTTTTTTTTTTCATTTAAATGAACTCAAATTTAACTCCTTTTTTTTTACTGATTTTCTCTTTTTTATCACATGTAGTTTGTATACTTGCTGGTTATTGCTATAGTTTTATACTTATTAGTATTCTAGTTTTTTGTTTTGTTTGCTTATGTATTTACATGCCAATTTATATTTCTTTTTCCCCTTTTTATCTTTCCTTATTTATTTATTAAAAAAAACTAAATTTTAATATCTTTGTTCTTTCCTTCTTTTTTCCCCTTCTCCCCTTTTTCTCTTTTTCCTTTAACAAGGGTATTACAAATTAATCAACTTAATTTCTATTATTTTTTTCTTTTTTCTTATTTTTTTTTATTATTGTTATTTTTCCCCCTCTTTTCCTTTTTCCCCCTTTTCTTTTTTTTTTATATTACATGTACTAATTTAGGTTTTTTTTTTTTTTTTTTTAACAGATTTATTAATTAATTAATTATTATTATTATACTTCCCCCCTTTTTATTATTTTATTATAAATATTACAATTAAATTGCCTTAATTTTTATTTCTTTTTTGTTTTTTTTTTTTTTTCGGTACACAAATCTTACAATTTAGTTAACTCAATTTTAATTTCTTTTTTATATTCCATGTATACATATTTTGTTTTATTGAACATAATTTATTTATTTATTTCTTACGTATGTATATATTATTATTATTGTTCATATATGTATACATAAATATAAACATATACATATGTATATACATATATATGTATATACATATATATGTATATACACATACATGGATATACTCCAATGAAAGGGAAAAGGAAGGACTAATGCTTAGCCGCACGACACACAACGCCCCGAACAAGCTATATAGAAATGTTTACAGTAGAGTAAAACCTGTGCAAAATTTTATATGCTTCAATGTTATTTGTTTTTAGTATTACACTAACATCAAAAGATCTTATTTTCAACCTCAATAAGTCTCTTATCATCTGAATACGTGGTCTTCTGTCTATTAACGAACAAAAAAAGGTGAAGTGGTGGTTACTTTGGACTAGGCCGCAGGGTAGGGTAGTATATTAATTTTGGCAAGGTGGGATAAATGTGTCGATAACAATGTACCAAACAAATAAATATGTATATATCGATAACCGCGACAAATACATATATCGATAATTTTTATGAACACGTTATCCCCCAAACAATGGTCTATCAACAGTGATATCGAAATAATATTAATAACAATAGAATGGCGCTTCCCTGCAAAAATCGTTGGACCATGTAGTCTATTTGTGGTATATTGGAGTACTTACAAAAGTGCTCCTCTGTCATGCTGTAGCGAACCAACTCGTGTCTCTGCACCAGCTTATTGTTACCCGATCACTGCTCGTGTTTTAACGAAATGTGATTGAAGTTAAGCATTTGAAAGTACATTTGCATGTCTGGCTGTAGCTGAACGTGTAGAGATGCTAGCTGTTAGTTCTTAGCTCCCAGCATGGTCGGGTTCGAATGTCGTTAGAGGCAACATGTAATTTTTCATTTTTGTTTTTGGTTTTTATTCATTTCAAAAAAAGCATCTGCGAAGTGAAGAAAAAAAGCGTGTACAAACGAAAAAATATAACGAGAATGTCATTGGAGTATGTTGGGAGTAGTTTTGTGCTACTCTGATGTAATGCAGAGATGGAGTATATGGTCCTGCCCAGGGACATCGCAATGTTAATTGGACCATATTTTTTTATATGAATTGAGGTTAATTTTGGAGTACTCCTTGGTCCTTCGGGAGTACTCTTTACATGCATGCATGGAGTAGTCGCGATTTTTGCATCCTAAAATCTTAAGCACAAAATATACAGTGGTAATATGGTAGCGCGCTGCTAAGCACTACACCACAGCGGTCGCCGATATCGAAATATTTACGCATAAGAATTATCAAAAAAAAAAGTATCGATAACAAATAGGCATTAGCATTTTTTTAGTTTATTTTTATGCTAATAGGAATTTCCCTTTCCAACACCGAGCGCATTCATTCCCAGTAGCATTTGTAGGCAAATGCAGCCAACTTTACTATTATTTACGTACATCAGCTGTTTGAAAAGTTTATTAATTGGCAATCAAGGCCTTGTTATCAATTTATTTTGCTGTTTTCCTATCAAAAAGAAACTCACTTGTCAAATTAGCAGCCATAAATTTTTTTTTGATAAATAAATGTATTTGGTAGAGTATCTACACAATTTTAAACCCGAATAAATTAAATATATGTGCATTTTAATTGAAGGCAATTGAGACACCATTCCGTACGGCAGTATGCAAAATTGAAAAGCTAATTATTTTTAAAAGGTAAGTAAAGAAGTCGTCGACCAGTTTATAAATTGTGTCAGTGACCGCGCCAATGTTAAGCTAAATATATAAAATATGCAAACTTGAATGCAGCGATACAATTAACACTGTCGGACGATCTGTTTTCGGGAGTACTCAATCCGCTGAGGTGCAAACAAACAAAGCATTGAAAAGAATGAGTACAATAAAAAGATGTCCACCCGTATGTAACTATGTACATGCATATATACATATGTAGACATTGCTTGTGTATTTGCCTGCTGTTATAAACTCTTTTAGAGCTCATAATACTTGTTATCAGACGGACAAAGAAAATTAACATTTCTCCCTTTATTTCATATACTTTATCATCAACAAAGTTATTAGGTGCGCCCGTACTACATCAGCAACTACATATTTATGCAAATATATAGTACATATACCTAATGTACGTGAAGTAAACTTTGTGTTCAATTGAACACTTTGCAATTAGTTAATAGCGCGCCTTCAACGGGTACACAAGCATAAGATATACATAGTACAATCGCGCCGCCTGCAGATCGACAGTGTGCTCAGAAATACGTGCTTTGTGTGTCATATGTATATATGTACATACACACATATGTACCAACCGAAAGTGATTGATTATTAAAGTACAAATTCCAAATAAACTAACGAACCCAACGAGAAGTAAGTGAAGGAGTTAAGATGCCACCATTCCAAGTTGTCGATTGCACAAAGGTATTAACAGGTGGAGTGAATCGGGCATTTGGTAATAGAGAACCTTGGCTAGTAGCAACTATTACGGCGACAACGGTGCTGGGAACTGTTTGGCTATGGACATTTATCAATCATGATGAAAGTGAGTAAATCATATGAATGTTTGTAGTTTTGTATGTGTACAGTTTCGTTTGCCATTTCGCCGATTTTTAATTGCTAATCGGTAAGAAATTTAAGAAATAATGAATTGCTAATTGGCGGTTTTGTACTTGCAGCCATTCATTTAATATTAGTTGTTATATAAAGCATAGTTCTATTGAACATCTTGTCTGTCTTACTTTAGTCTAATTATCGGCAATGTGCTTTATGCTAATGTCATTGGATCAGACCGGTAAATTGATAATTTTTTCTTTGAGCAACAGCACAAATATATAGTATTTAATAGCACTGATAACTGGGGCTATAAACATTGTATACATACAAGTGATAAGAGTGGAAAAAGAAAAGTAGGGTTTGCTTTTCTAATGTTTATGTACTTTTAA